AACTTGGCTGCACAACGTAAAAGGTGACTGAGTGACCGATAAAAACAACGCAGAACTTCGCACACAAGTGCATCGGCTTAAGTTGCCACATATCACAGAAGTACACAAAGAACAGATGCATAGAAAAGGAGACCCTAACCAGGGAGTCTACACCTCCCCCACACGGCTCAAGCCAACTGGTCCCAGGTCTTGGCCTGGCCACCGTGAACCTTTTACTATCCTAATCCAACTTCCCCTAGCATGGCAGTTCGAGGGACGCGGTGGTTCAGCATGCGCAGAACACTTCCGAGTCATCTCAGTCGACTTAAGTTGACAGCCTCTTCAACTGACTTGCCTGTCTTGCACAATACCTTCCACCTGACCTCAACATTGCCGGACGATGATTCCACTAAACGCTAGCAATGTAACTGTTTCATGTCTCCTACTTTTAACGGCCATGTTTCACAGCGTACAACAGGACAGAACTAACTGAAGCGCAGTATACTCATCCTTTGATAGATAGTCGGATATCTGGCTGACGCCACAGGTGATGGAAGTTGGCAAATGCCAAACGGGTCTCCTGTATCCGAGCTGAGATTGAGTCAGCAACCAGCCCATTCAGGCTGATGCAACTCCCCAAGTAAGTGAAGTGATCGATAATTTAGTCTCATTAAATGCTTTCAAATGTTTCACCAGGATCCATGTAGTTCTACGAAAAAGCGTGGTGGGGGAGTAGCTACCTTGATCAACACTCAGTAGTGCTCATTAGGTTATATATGTTTAGTCTATTCTAATGAAAATATAGACTGTATCACTGTTAAGTGGTGTCCAGAACATTTACATAAATCTGAATTCATTCTCACCACCAGTGCTTACGTAACCCTTGGTTACATCGATTCTGAATTAACCAGATTCGCTGACAAATTCACAGAATTTACTGCTCCAATAATGTGTGATTCATTGTCTGTTGTCTACGATGATTTTAACTCTTGTGACTTCAGCTTATTGTGTTCTCTTGGTCACAGCAACCTAGTCAGTTTTTCAAATCATTGTGATGCTACATTAGGCTTGATCGCTGTTAATGAACCTGGTATATATGAAACTTGGAAACGTGCACCACTGCTAAGCTCAGATTACTGAATTATACATGTTCTGCAAAAACATATGGCAAACTGCAGAAAAATACTTTCCATACCAAGCTAAGAAGACTCTACACATGACAACATACTCAAACTCAGATCCATGTTACAAAACACAAAATGGGACATATTTGAAGATGATCCTCTGGATGACACAACAGACGCTGTTACATGCCATCTGAAATCTTACCTTGATATTTTCTGCCCAGATAAAAAACGTTTTCTAAGGTTTCAAAGACTTTCATCTTCGCGATTAAAAAGACTGAGAAGAGACAAAGAAAAACTGTACAAATCGAACGATAATACTAGAGTTAAATGACTTAGCTGTCTGATCAAGTCTGAAATAAGACGCCTAGGTTTAATATATGACCAGATTATCCCATGCAGAAACCCTTCAAGTACATGAAGACATTTTAATGATCTTACTGGTAAAACTTAGAAATGAAGCCTGTGAAAACTTCAGTGTACTAAATCAGTCATTCATACATAAACCTGCTAACATTATCTTATATTTCTCTTCACATACAACAGAAGACAGTTTTCCTAAATTCAATGAAACATGTATGTTCAAATGCCTAGAATCACTAAAACCAGATGGCATGGTAGGCATTCTCTTTGGTAAATGTGTTGATATTCTATGCCATCAACTCAAAAATATTTCTAATGAGTCCGTTGCTAAAAATGACGTACCAACCAACTGGAAAGAAGTTAAAGTAGCTCTGTGCTTAGTTCCATATTTTCTGAAACTAGTGATAGATTCCCACCGGTCGAAACGACCTCACCAATCTTAAAAACAATAGGAAAACTGTTGCTTTGTGTGTCTGGATCTTTTCTGGAGGCTTTCAGAGATCCTAATCAATTTGTCTACAAACCCTGAATGTGCACTTTAGATGCTGCAGTGGTTTCATATCATAATATTACTACTATATGCTAAGTATGTCAGATCTGAATTCTTAGATTACACCTCTGCCTTTGATTCTGTCCCGAAACCCCCTTTAGTAAACAAGCTCGCCAGAACTCCTGGATCGCTAAATGGCTTTATCCTCATTTTTCTGAGAGAAGACAGTTAACTCTGTACAGGGGAAGCTCTCTGTTTCGCTACTTAGTGAATCCAATGTCCCCCAAGATGCTGTTTTCGCTCTACTCTTTTCTTTTTCATCATCTACTCACCTCAATTAAACCTTACTTTATAAAGTACACAGATGATCCAACAGTCTCCATGTCAATCATCTCTTCAGATTGTTTTCAGTTTAATAACTTCTTAACCGAAGTCCATCACTGGTTTTCCTTGAATCGCTTCACACTCAATCCCTCCAAATAACAGATGGTCAATTCTAGCTTAAGATATACACAACCCCTATGTAAATCGCTCCACTCCCATGACTCTCGTCTTATAGATAGCTCAATTTTAGAGAATGTATCTAGCATGATCCATCCCGGCACACATGATCTATCTTCATCCCCTCATGTCTTTCTCATTTCCTCAAAATTCCTTCGCTTCACCTTCCATATAAGAAAATTCAAACTGTCTGGCATAAAGCAGACTCTACTCTTACCTCCCATTACTTATTTTCCACCTTATCCTTTCCTGGACTATGGAGAAAAGACTACGCTGTATTGCATAGGATTTCGAAGACTGTTAGTAGGGCGAGACGTAAACTACTAATTGTGCAGATAAATCAAGTCATAGACTGAACTGAACTGGTCTGAACTGGCTAAAAATATTTAGTCTGATGACAAGCATCCTCACCTCTCTCCATGTCTGTACTCAGGGAAGATAAACACCAAATATGCTGAATTTTACACATGCACCACTACACACAAAAATTCAACCATACCTTATTTAGATTTGTTTATTTGATATATAGCGCACAGTGATACAGTATCATTTACTTGATTACGTTTCGAGCATAAATTATTGCTCATAATCATATCATATCACATTGATATGATTACGAGCAATAATTTATGCTCGAAACGTAATCAAGTAAATAATACTGTACCACTGTGCGCTATATATCAAATAAACAAATCTAATATGGAACTACATTTTACCACAGTGCCCAAGTTTTACACCTACATACCTTATTTAACTTGTGCAATGTGTGAGCAAAGTCTTAGACATAGCCAACTTGACAATGGTGAACAGTCATCATGACCCTGAAGTTATTAAACATTTTAGCAATCCTGTTAATCTTTACTATGTATTGTTAAACAGCACCATTGCTAATATATGTTTGAAAAATGTTGTACAACGGGTAAACTGATGCATTATCAGATGCTGAGAATTCTGTACTGTAAACAAAATCTTGGTTCGGAGTAAAGCACATATATTACTATTACTATAAACTTCATGGATCGATGTCACGTCTTGGTCTGATCACTCTTTGCTTCCTTCTAGCTTAATCCTACGCTGCCTAAATTTGTGCATAGTTCGGTGTGCGCAACATGTTCCAGCCACCTCAGTCAGTGATGGTTTCCAGATTGTTCCGATAAGTTGCGTATCTTAACTGTTATCCTAGGCCTGGCTTCAAAACCACACACAATGATTCCCATGTACACCAGCAATGCTATGACAAGTGACCGAAAAGCTGTGAACTAGGTAGCTGACGCGATCGATTCATGTGGATGCTATTTCTGCCAGTTTGAACCTCTTGATATCGAATAACAGTAGGTCTTGGCCTGATATCTAGAAATAATAATAACTATATTCCAGACAGAATGGCAGGTAAAATGTGAGATTCCTAGCATGTGGTATTGCATCAAATATACACTCCGTACAGTATTTGTGAACATGGATCACTATCAACGGCTACACAACTGGAAGAAATCAAAGGCAACGTAGAAATATTGACCGAGATATGCGAAGAAGGATTGGAAGGCACAGATGTTGTGGGTTGACAGTGATCAGAAAAGACTTGAGTTTTAACAGAGATATGGGAGTGGTTGACACTTTCCAGTTGCCCAAACCATGAGGTAGCTGAAAGAGGAAGGATTAGTAATTGCAGTGTTTGGTCTCAAAACCCTAAAGACATCTCCTTGGTGCTGGTCATACATGACCTTTCCAGGAGTTTTCGATTGTGATTTCACTGCTCTACTACCCGGACGAGGAAGATCCATGCCACAAGTAGTGAGAGACTGTAGGAAAGGGAAAAGCGTGCTACGGTGTTCAACCTTTCTCACCCCTCTTCGCATATGGAGGGTAGCAACAGCACGATACTGTTGGTCATCTGTGGGAAACGCCTTACTGCAGTCACACCCTCTTCAACCAGCAGTACGATTTCGGCCTCAGGCAACCCCGCATTATGTCGTAAGCCACTTACGTCATGGCGGTGACTGTTTGCAGTCTTACCACTATTTAACAGACCTTTCTGAAATGGTGGGACCTCAAGGACGAATCGTTGCAACCGTCATAGCTTGCTTGTTGTCCCATTGTGGCATGGAATCCAGACCTACATGTGAAGGTAACAGCCAATGGTCAAACCAAGGGGTAAAATATCCATTCAATATTGATACGATTTCGATTCCAGTAGTGTTTCAGTATTATATGTGGTTACCTAATGTAAGTTGGTGTTACCTTTTACTTCGACTGAACATTAAGGGAGATAAGTCTTGGTGACGCTTTAGCCCTGGCAAACAACTTACTTGTTCAAAATAATCAACATGGGTTGTGCTATTCATAACTAATTTGCAAACTGCACAAACTCTTAGTGTTTTGTAATTACATAGCAGTAATCTGTAAACCACTTGATTCAAGTCTGTTTATAAGTTTGTCAAAGGAAATAAGTGCATGCAGTGGTCATTCCTAGATATCCCCACACACACATCAACCTGTATTTTTAAATGTGACCATTACCTTTTAGGGAAGTAGAGCGAAATAGATTTTATGAAATGGATTTTATTAAATATCTTTAAATACAAATAAAATAAATATGTACAATTGTTCTTCCCGTCATTTTGTCGCCATCTAAGAGAAAACACACAAGATAAGTGGAATAAGTTACAATAACTTACTCTAAACTGCTCCTCAATATTTGAAATTTCACTGATAAGATCTTTCAAAGCAGATACAAAAACATCTACAGGTGTTGCTGGATGAGCTGTATGCACCCGAATGACTATTTTGTGCTCTAGAGGATGAGGTGCTTTATATCCTGCGAATAGCACTCTTGGGTCTTTGAGAAGCTGACTAAATCGAATGAACGAATACAAAACAAAAGGGTCTAGTATAAGCGAGAATATGAAATAACACGAAAATTTAATTGGTCTGTATGGCAAAAGCATAGGCCTATTGATTTCCAACAACCGAGTAAAATCTGCAAACTTTCAATGCAGAATACAACACAGTTCAGCAATACCATACGCTATGAACAGAAGTCAGTCATCAGGAACCATACCAGTGACAGAGACCACTGGAACAAAAAATAAGTTGAGAATGAACTCCGACATGTTACAGTGGAACACCTCACCAATAAAGAGAGTTCTATGACATTATAAAAACGAACAGAAGAAATATCACATTGATAAGTATGCAAGACCAAATAGGAAATAAGAAACAAAACTCAACCGATAGCTGTAATTGTGACGAGTAGGTCTAGATACCATGCCACAATGGGACAACAAGCAAGCTATGACGGTTGCAACGATTCGTCCTTGAGGTCCCACCATTTCAGAAAGGTCTGTTAAATAGTGGTAAGACTGCAAACAGTCACCGCCATGACGTAAGTGGCTTACGACATAATGCGGGGTTGCCTGAGGCCGAAATCGTACTGCTGGTTGAAGAGGGTGTGACTGCAGTAAGGCGTTTCCCACAGATGACCAACAGTATCGTGCTGTTGCTACCCTCCATATGCGAAGAGGGGTGAGAAAGGTTGAACACCGTAGCACGCTTTTCCCTTTCCTACAGTCTCTCACTACTTGTGGCATGGATCTTCCTCGTCCGGGTAGTAGAGCAGTGAAATCACAATCGAAAACTCCTGGAAAGGTCATGTATGACCAGCACCAAGGAGATGTCTTTAGGGTTTTGAGACCAAACACTGCAATTACTAATCCTTCCTCTTTCAGCTACCTCATGGTTTGGGCAACTGGAAAGTGTCAACCACTCCCATATCTCTGTTAAAACTCAAGTCTTTTCTGATCACTGTCAACCCACAACATCTGTGCCTTCCAATCCTTCTTCGCATATCTCGGTCAATATTTCTACGTTGCCTTTGATTTCTTCCAGTTGTGTAGCCGTTGATAGTGATCCATGTTCATAAAACATCATCTTTAATCTATTGAAACTGCACTCCAAACTACATATCCGAGTTTTGAACATCTGAGCCCTGCATCAAATCGGACAACAAGCTTCGCTAGCCAAAACTGACATCTCAGGCCATCGATGTGTGTTGTGTTTGCGAGACATGCATACAAGCCCCAGTTGTGTTTATTAGCTTGACGTCCCCCTAGCTAACGTGATGAATCTGTAAAATTCACTCTATGTGTCTGAAGATCCATTGGCTAGCTCTTGTGGACTTGGTCGTGTAGGAATAGGATTACGTGGTCGAGCAGAAAGTACACTTCTTGACTAGATACCAGTCAATTGCCGTATGTTCGATTGATTTGTGAGAGGTGGGAAGAGTGGTGACACTGGCCGATGTCTATTCGTAGTCTCCGCTTACGCCCATGAGTTTTACCAAAAGCTATCAATATTCTTACATTAAGCAAAAAGCTCAAATGGTCAGAGTATCGGATGATTCCAACACTCAGACAGGGGAGTTGAGCCGATGGGAAAGGAGTCTTTGGGGTGTCTGTGGTATCCTACGTTGACGGACTGACAGCGGTGATGATCTTTTGCGAATTTGTTCAAAGTTAACACGAGGCGTACTCTCACTTGGCATTCACCAATCTCAGGCTGACGGTGGATACATATAGATTATATCTTTTTCAGCCATCATTGGACAGGATCGGTGGAAGACTGGCATTCTTTTAGGAGTACTTGTCTGGTCTATGATAATGCATTAGTACAGCGACGTGTTTGTTTATGCTTTGATGGATACAGGAAACATCACAGTGAGGCCTCTGTGAAAACAGTGTGTATTTAAAGAACAGATAGGTAAACATTTATCTGAACATGATACCAGTTTGTATCCTGATGAAACTTCATGTGGTAATCAGTCTGCTGTAGAAACAGTGATAAAGGCAGTCGATAATTGATATCCAGTGGTTAGCAGAAGCCAGGGGATTTCCGCAAGTTCATCTGAACTGATTGGTGTCAGAAGACTAATGGTAGCTGGCTTTAGCTACAATGAGGAGCGAAAGTGGTGGAGATAGAAAAGTAACCAGCACTAGACAATACTCGGTATGTGTTTAGCATTATCAAGGAAACTGTTTGGAAGAGGACGATGGTAATTGAAACCGTTGGGAGAAAGTATGGATATATGTCAACCTGTGAAGAGTAGCAACTTGGACGTCAAACGAATAGGGAGAACAGCTCAACTGAGCTGTAGGCACACTTCAGTTGGTCATCATCCCACCGAAGCGTGAATGGGACGTAGATGTCAGCCCTCGGAGGCGCGAAGGCTGTTTCGAAGCTGAATAGCCATGTAGAGTAACACTCCGAGGTAGATCCCAGGATGCGTGATCGTTTAATTTCGAAAATGTTCCCGTAAAAGCAGAAATCTATGCAGTTTTCAGATCAGAAGTGTGGTGAATGAAGTGTTATATCCTCCGTAAGTTTTGGAATACAAGCACGCCTAGTCTTGTTGATCAAGCTATATATTTTGACGCGAGTTTGGAATTCAACTTTTTCGATGGAGATCTGTATCATTTTTTTCCCCACAGGGTAGTATTGAGCAATTATGTAGTGTTAATGAAGGTTTCTTACTTGGAGACAGCGATGTTAAGTGCTTCACAGTAAATATTCTGCAACAAAGCTCGATCAAATAACTTGAATGCCGAATTCGGGCGAAGAAACATAGTAAGTGTTGGCTGCCAATCGATGTCTGTGTTCCGAAACCCATCAAATGGTGAAGATCTGACCAATGCTTATGCCAGAACACAAACCTGACCGGTTTTCTTAAGCTTGGTTTTTATCTAGCTTCAGTTAGGTGTCGTGCAACTATGAGCCCTAATGTTTAGATGTTATTAAACAGACTTATGCCTCGGTGGTTGTTCCACGAAGACTTCTCGTTGATGGACTGCAATAATGGAAAGCCACACTTAATCTCGTCATTTTTTCATTCTTCCTTACTCTCTTTTATTACTTTCTACTTCTTCCGACCGGGTTTTCTTGCCTTCTTCATCTTTCATCCTATTGCCTTGTTACTTGATGCGTTGATATTAAGTGTGGCAACTTGGACTATTAAGCAGTAACGCTTGGTCCTAAGTTGATTTTGATGGTGAAATAGAGGTTCGTGCTAAATATGGTGGAACTACGTACGGTTTTTGTAGACTACCTATTACCTCTCTTACCATGCTGAGTAATTCTACACAAACATATTTTAAAGTTGGTGATGATCCGTTAAGTCCCGCTGTCATGCACATTTTCATACTTGAAACAGTTTTCACCACCTTGAAGGTTCGATACAAACGTCCTTCTGGGACTACAGCTGGATGTTACTAAACGGAAGACCAGATTCAGACTAGTTGGAATACTGTCTAAAGTGTCCTAGATGCTCATCGTGAGCCGCTGTTAGGCACTATCCTTCGGAGATACTGACCATAATCTTTTTTTGTGTCCGTCTTTAATTACTTAAAGTTAGTGCTTACTCCACCTCTTTGGTATCACAGGTATCAGGAAAACTCTTACGGTCCAAAATTAGGATGTATGAAATTACCAGAGCTCAAGACAGTAAAAACAAGATTAATGCAAATATATTAAGAACGAACACACGTTAGGACAGAAACAAAGGAGACGCATAAGGACCAAGTTTATAAAGAAACATAGTAGCCATATGTGTGTATGCCTTCATCACTCATTTTCCCCATATCGTATAGAAAGTTTGAGCCTTAATTCCAATTGGAACTGGTAAACTAAAATTAAATGTCACATCTTGACACCTAGTATTTATAACAAGACATGTTTTCAATTGAATTTCAGCTTTCAGTCGAATATATATATGAACCAATTAGGGTAATTAGTCAATGATAACAAGACTTCAAATTATGCACTGTCGAATGTTAAAAATAGTGATAGTATGAGATAATACGAATCTTGAGAATGGTATGACAATGTATACAGGTGTTCAGACAGACAAACATATGTCAGCATAGGAAAATACCATAAGGTTGGGGTGTATTACTAGAGGGTGAAATCAGTGAATGAATAAGGTTTGAATGTGAATACGAGAGGGTTATGAAAGGGAGTGGTAAAATAAAAAGGGGAAGAAGAGCACTTCAAAAGTCTGTGGGTAAAGTCATTTATTAAGTCTTCCCTGTTCAAGGCACGAAGAGTTTTTTTTGAACACCACTTTTCATGAGATAATGATACATCGTTTAGATAATGAGTTCTAGCTCACTGAGTTTTTACCTGCTTGAACCATGGGTCAAGGAAAAATTCCCCACCAAATATATCCCATCAAATCGTTCCCTTCCAACTTTTCTGAAATACTGAAGTCTTCGGGGCGTGACACGTACTCTCGCATATGTTTAGTGCCTTTAGCCAGCCGTTTCTCAAGTTAAAAATTAAAACATGAAAAGACGCCATAACAGATGGTAATAGGCTTTTAAACCCACAGTACATTTAACTGTTCGTCATACAGTCAGATCGACTTGAAGATTTTTGTACAGCTTCAATGAATCACTACCACTGAAGTTACGCACGCCTTTCAATTCGTTCCCTTCCTCAGATCAGACGATACCCTGACAACAGTTGGTCGTTGCATATTATTTCCTTGTAATATTACTACTGACATTACATAGACGCTATTATCATTTCGTTTACAAATACTGTACGGAGAGTATATTTGATGCAATACCACATGCTAGGAATCTCACATTTCACCTGCCATTCTGTCTGGAATATAGTTATTATTATTTCTAGATATCAGGCCAAGACCTACTGTTATTCGATATCAAGAGGTTCAAACTGGCAGAAATAGCATCCACATGAATCGATCGCGTCAGCTACCTAGAAACCGTTTACGAGATTCCGCCTGAATCGGATTTCATGGCTTTATCGTATACTACACTAATAGTGCTAAAAGTCATGTTTTTCTTCAAAAATGATCATATTTTTAAACGTCAGTGATATCTTTATGGTAGATTAATGAACATCATACTAACACAAGGCTACGTGACTATTTTCCCATATTTTTAATTCAGACTTTGCATGTTCGTAAGAGTACTTTTAGCCAAATAAAGCAAAAAATTATCATTATCTACAAAAAAGCCTATCTGAAGTACAAGTAACATTCATCCTAAGGACTGACGAAAACATATCACAATTTAACATTATTCTGTTCTGTGGGTGTAAAGTAATGTTAGTTGCTGGATGATGTTTGGAATAGGATTTATTGTTGAGTCATATCAAACATACTGCCACTGCTGCAATACCGTTTCTAAACTTGTTTTCTTCATCATTTGTTGTGTAGATAGCAGAATTCCAGATGTATGGACGACTTTACTTCCTGTGCTAAAAATAAAGGCGAAGAAACAGAACTATAAGAAGTGTCAGCTGCGGAGTTACCTTTGATATGACTAAAAGTAATAAATCCTGTCCTAAGCGCCAACTAGTTGCCAATACATTTTTACTGTGTGAAATATCCAACAAACGACTTAACATCAAAATATACGCTACCAGTGACGATTTATCCTTACACTAACGAAAACATACCATGTGATCATATTCCCAACGGTATGATCTTCTCTGTTCAGAGTAAAGATAGCAGCATTTGGCACTTGCGTATCTTTTTCAAATGAGATCCTAAGAAAGTTGAAATACAAGTTTGATCACGTACTTCTTCTCCCCATCAGCTAATAAGAAAGGTTCAAATGAGGCAGGAGCATTCATTGTAACTCACTGTTTCGTAAACGCGGATTGCAAGAACGACCTTCCCACATGTCCACGGTCCAAAATCTATTTTACGAAGTACGAAAAACTGGCTGAATTTATTGTACTCAACTCCAGATATTTTGAAAACAGTTTCATGCTTTTTGTGAAATTCATCTCCTAGCTTGCTGTAGATCTGTTAGTCTCAGTGAGTGACTGGATATTGGTTAAACTTTCTAGTGGACTTAAGATTTATTCTGATTCTGCTCTCCTGATTGGATCTTCCATTATCTTATCCCTTGATGTTCTGGTAGCAGAAGAGGAAATAGTCGAGACAGCACCCCTACTAAGCAAAAGCAAGACAATAAGAGCAAGTAGGTTAAAATTAATTTAGGGGGAAGTAGAAATTGTGTTTGAAACACTCTTAATGAGCAGGACTGAATGCAAAACAATGAATGAAATAGATAGTGGCTGCGCAAAACACGATATGATATCCTGGCTAAAGATTTTCAGATTGTGGATCCACACGAAAAGTCACTGATTTGGGTTAGAGACCATCTTTACACTAAGTCGTAGTCACTTTGAATCGGCTCCTCTTTATCTAACTGGTTCCCAGTTATGAGCGGTGTGCTTCAGGGTTCCATTCTGGATCCACTGCTTTTTCTTGCTTCTGCCGGTCAGCTGTCGGGATCCCTCGATTTCCATTCACTATTATGTGCCACCGAACTGAAGATTTAGAGGGAAATACAGGGGCTAACCAATATTCTGGTCCTCCATGGGAACCTATCCAAAGCCTTAAATGGGACTAAGGGAAACCCGCCCCTTCTCGACCCGAAGAAGTGTAGTACAGTGATCACTGACAAATACAAAGGTGGCTCCAGTTTTTGAAAAAGAACTGGGGGTTACTTTAGGTGGTCCTTTATCGCCTTGCAGCCAACAGGGTCCATGGTATCGTGGGATTTCCTTCGCAGACTGCAGGGAGTCTGAGTGGCCCTTTTCACCACGGTGAATGGATTCTATGTTCGTCCCCATCTTGAAGAAGTTCGATCGTGATGTCTTCAAACTTGAAGAGTGACACCCATCCTGGGACGGGTTCAAAGAAGAGCCATGAAGCAAGCGATTGAGCTGCAGTACGAACCTTACCTGGATAGTATCCAGTACAACACCGGATGATCAGGGGGGATATGATCATGATGTCTCACATTGCCTATAATCCCCTTCATCCCAGCAGATTCCTTTCGAGCTTTAATCAGAAGTTCCACCTTATGGGGTCACAAGCTGAGAGTAGAGAATGAAGGGATGCATACAAAGATTCGTGTCAACTCGTTTGCAACCAGATTTTGTAAGCCATGGAACTCCTTTCCTTTGTTACAGCCCCACCCTCTAACGCCTTCAAAAGGAGGTTAGATGAACATTCAGAGTCTTGTGGTACCGATGGGCTTTACTCGGAAAGCTTTCCGTCACCTGTAGATCAGGAGAAGTAACATTACCCATTAAGACTGTATTAATCGATCATCGGTTATCTCCGTCCTTTCAGGTTTCTTGGAGCCAGAAAGACAAATGTGGCCACTCCAAACCAAGAAAGCACTCTAATCAAGCACGCGTGGAACTCAAGGGGCCGTCGTTTACCAGCTGTACAGCACAAAGTTCGAAGTTTGATCAGATGTATAACAGGCAGAGATGACAAGTAGACAGTTCTTGGGGGCGGGGAATTCGGTTCGTGTATCGATACGCAAGTTTTGCGTGAAGGCAAAACAAAATGAATGCTTGATATGAGCCCAGCTGGTTCCCTCAGCCTGGTTCACATCCGAGACGAATGAGTGCGATCCATGCGTAACCGTGTAATCGTCTAGCCTTTTCAATCTTCAATCCTCGGTAGGTGATTGTGTTTGAGTCACAATGGTCGCTGGATAGTACTCTTCTGTTCGAGTGATTTGCGTAGCCCCAACGTCTGCTGGGCGTTATAAAGCAACCGCCTATCCGATAACCGCTTGTGCTAGCAACACTTCGTAATTCGTCTCTGAATTTCCTGCACATGATTCGCGTTCCTCGTGTATGATGGTGTGACTGTATTGCCATACCCAAGGTCGGGTCACACGTAAGACTCATACTGCTTGAGGAGCAGCCTTATGGGTACAGAATTTAGCTGCCTGAGCACAAACTGTAATGCCAATTAGCCTTTTGGTGTATCCGCCTGGCAATCCGAGCCGGTATCCGGGCCTTTTGTAGAGATTGAACCTGGATCTCCTTAAGGGACTGCATGCAGAAGATGCACAGTACAAAGGGGGTTAAAGTATTCTGTGAAAATCAGAGTGGGGGAAAAGGACTGCTCCACATTTTACTGAGTTTTACGTCAGTTCGTTACCCAACAGCCACTGCTAGAGCATTCTAAGATAGTCTTCCGGCGTGTTCAGCCGAATAATCCTCCCTACTTTGGGGTTTAGTGAGTAAATATGAAGCAACGAATGTGCGGTAGATTTTGTTGTAGCACTTTGAAGCCTGCATATATCTCAGTGGAAAGTAGAAAAAGCCTAAAAAAGTCAGCCAGCGATGAGGTATCTTGAAGAAGTGACGTAGGCACGTGACACCAGTTTACTTTTAGTATTATTTTTTAGCGTAGACCGCTGCATAACAAAGACTCCAAGTCAACTGATTTATAGCAGTTGAAGCTGATGAAAAGAGAGCTGACACAGTAAACCATTTTGTCCGCTTTTTCAGCGAGTTCGTGGTCGCAAAACAGAGAAGTGCTTAACGCAGCCAGTCCTTGAAGTGAGACTGAAGAAAACCCACGTATGTATAGCTCTAAAGAGGTAAGCATCTTATAAACCAATTAGCTCACTTAGTTTATCATGTTTAGCGTCAAACCCTAACATGCTGGAGCAGAAGTATCTCTCTTAGGAAGACCGTAGGCGCGGAACCAAATGTTTGGCGAGTAATACGTGAACCTTGTGGCTGCTAGTCCATACGGCCATGCACCAAACCACCGATCGCACGATGATCACCGCATAACTTGCTCTTTGTAGCGGGTAATGTATCAACATAAAGGCTGGATGAAGCCGGCTTCCCTCAGCCGGCAGATGTTTGCTTTCCAATCTCTTTCGACGTACAGGAACTTTAGTTCATAGAAGATCCTAATCACCTGAATTGCCTCCAGTGCGGCCGTAATTATGCCAGGAGAAGAAATCACTAATTCGATTAGCTTAGCTCTGAGGTTCACCATACTTTGAGTCTAAAGAGTGGGACTGGGCATCACACTGCCATCAGGCATGCAGACGTTCATACTGAGATGCCCGTGGTTTTCAGTAAGAGCTGACTTAAGCCCAAAATTTTCAGTGATTTGTTAAACTACGAAGTACCGACCCTGACTATAAAAATCACGAATCTCGACTGAGGAGGATGAAGGTTGCTGGAGCGCAGTATGCTATTGGCGGGAGTACACGGCTCACAACTGAAATTCCCAAAAGTCACCAAATAGTTTACAAATCGTGACTGGGTCGCTGTAGACTACCTCGTTATGAAGCGAGTGTTGCAAATCCATTGTTGTTTGAAGGCGTTTCTTTAGAAGTGATGTTAGAGCTAGTTCTAAGGGCTTGTAACTTTTCATTTTGGGCTTCTTGGGCACGTAAGCCTTCGACTGATTCCGGGGTATCACGGGTCGCGTGCAGTGAGGAGAAATGCCTGGTGGAGTGGTACAGATTCCACAGTCCGGAAGTTTGTCCGTTTCCGCTGTCGAACATGGCGCTCGACATACGCAACCTATGAGCGTTTCTTATTTGTCACTATGTATGGTGACCCACAGCGAGTCGGGCACTGCATTTAGTATATTGTCTTCAACCTTATTTGCCGTAACTTGGTTACATATATAAACGAGACAGCCACCTCCACGTTTATGATCTCGATTAGTGCGATAAAGAGTGTATCGAACTACGATTGAGTCTGCATCCAGGATGCAAGGTGGACACCATGATTCGGTTATAAGTATTATCGTTGGTTTAGTGATTAAAACCGTTGTTCTAAGGGCAGATATTTTCTTGGGTAGGGAGTGCGCGTTAATGAGTAACAATGTATGTATGTGTGTTTCTGTGACTGATGAACTTACCTACAATATCAGTTATACCTATCTCATTATGTTCATTTCCATGTGGTGTGCCTATAGGTGATGTGCGGTGTGTGTTAGAAGCGAACTGAGACTCCCCACTGGTTTGTGTTGATGAGACAGTGGGTGGATTTGCGACATCTAAGTCTATTGGGTGGGGTAGCTCGCTAATCAACATGTTTTTGCTCTTTACTGATACCTCATGTTGCAGTTCGTTGTCCGTGGGTACCGATTTGGATGGTTCCGTCTTTGGGTCTGTGAATTGTGAGCTGGATACCAAAGGTCGTACAGAACGTCTGGTTACCCCGAGAAACCACGAGGTAGAGGTATTTTAGGGTACTTGGCGGGTGAGGTGGGTTTGAAGGAAGGATACACGAAGAATCACTAAAACGGGATACAAAGTGAAGATTCAGCTCACCACACGCCAGCAATCGTGGCAGGTTGCAGAAAAGTGTGACAGGGATTTTTGAAGTAGTATTCAGCTCCACGATTAAAGGATACAGCTTGAAAAATGAAACTCCAGAAAAATCTACAGCGACGTGGAGGGTATTTTGAACGACAGGCCGCTTCAGACAACGAGAAGTGATGTGAAGTACTTCGATATCCGAACTCCATATAGACTGCTGTTCCTGAGAAAGGACGAAGAGCTTCAGACAAGTGAAATGGAGGTAAGCCTAGTCGTTGGATGATGAAGCCAGGCAAGGTTTATGAGGGATGTGTACCAGTAAAGATGGTTGGAAGAGCATGTCACAGCTTTGCAGACAAGAGATGAGTAGAAGAGGCCTTGCATAAGCCTCCAAGTCGAGATGGCACTAGTGTCTAACAAATCCGGCATTTACGACTGATCGTTAGGAGTGATGGAGATTATGCAAGCCGTTAATGAAGAGTTTGTACTACTTGTTGAAGTGAGAATAAAGAGTGAGGCACTACCAAAGAGCGCTAAGAAGCTGTGCTCGCCA